ACAAACAAGACTTTTTTTTTTCTCATCAATAAACCAAATCACTTGTTTTCAACTATTTTTCTGATATTCCACAAATGTGGGTCCATCTGTTTATGGCTTTTGAAAGGGATGTGACCAAATAACATTTTGGTAAGCTTCTGATATTTAGAAGTCCAGAGCTTCAGCAGAAAGTTCTCCCTAAATTTCTCCCTCATTTGGCAGCTATGTATTATATAAAGGAGCTATCTATTGCCATCCCTCTAATGCAATTTATCAGCTTTTGATGTGCAGTCTCCATGTTTGGCTCTGTTATGATATATACTTCAGGTTAACTTTAGTCCCCAAATGCTCATTAAAATGCAAGGTTGTTAAAATTTTACTTTGGAAACACCTCCCTGAAGTTGCAAGATTCCCAAGATTGGAAATTGTTGAATATGTTGTGAGGGATAGACGCAGGAGCCATGGAATCAGAGAGTAAGATGTTTATTGCGAGATGACAAGCGATTCAAAACGTCCCTGCAACTGTCAGGGTATTTATACTCGAGCCCAAAGCAACTGTCAAAAACCAGCCAATCAGAGAGCTCAAATGACCAGCCAATCAGAGAGCTGGTAACAGGGAACATTTGCATATATAACAGGTAGAAAGGACAAGGGAGAGGTATAACTAAGCCATACTCAGGTTTATTGTCTCAACAGTCATAATATCAAATTATTGAGTATTTCTAATTAAAAAACAATTCATAAACCCAAGTTTAAGAATTGTAAAAAGTTTTTCTGCCTTGACAGTGTTCTACAAAGACTTTAATGTTTTGCAGATAAGTTGCTCATAAATGCAGTCACTTTTAAACTGCCATTAATAATAATCATATGAAAGAGTGCAGCTGCTGAGCAATTAGATGGAAATATGGTTACATTTTCATTCATGGCATTGCTTTTTCAGAATTTCACAAGCCCTAGAAACATATGCTTTACAACCGTCATACAAATCCGAACAAGATTTCCTATCAAGCAGGTGTCCAGATCAAGACTTCATAGGGGTTCTTAACCCTTTTCCTGAACACAAGGCTATCAAATGTACAAATACAACTGCTACATTTTAATGAGCGAAAGTGTTCTATCTTTCATAAGATCTTATATTTCACTCTTCATGAACATCCAATTACTAATAAACATCACAACTGTTAAGAAAAGAAGAGGTGCTTCTGGAGGGGAAAAAAGGGAGATTGAAGAGATTCTGTGAAAAAAGAGCTGACAACCCTAAAGATTATTATTGTTAGAAGACTGTTATAAAAGAAAGAGATATAAAATTGGTTTATTTGATCAAGGTTACAATAGATGTCTTACTATTTCTGGTAATCCTTAATGGACTTCGACTGACACCAAAACTGAAATGACAATGCTTTATGTATTTGTTTATGGGATAGGATCCAAGAAGAATAGATAAGTTTTATATTTTGAGAGGAGGTGATAAATTACTAATATTTATTTTTGTGATGCAGATGATCAGTCATTTCTTTGTATATTTTTCTTTTTCTATTTTTCTTTCTTCTTTAGTTCTATTTTTTCTTTCTTCTCTGCACCTTCTGCTGTTTCTTTTTATTCTTATAACTTTTTAGTTTCTATTAGTTTTTATTGTTGTAACTATAATCCTTAATAACATTACTATAAAAAGAAAGGAAAGGGAAAACCATAAAATGGAAATATCACTTTCAGAATAATATTCAATATAAATTATATAGTTTTAACTAACAAATAGTCTCAGTGAATTCAGCTGTATTTATTTTAAGGAAGTAAGTGGATTTTTCCAATCTAAAAGAAATAAACGTATATTGGAAGACAACACTATTGTTTGGAATTATTAACATTTTTTTAGAAATTACAAAAAAATATAAAATATATTAGCAAAATATTCTCAGAGATCTTTCTCTACAAAACTCCATATAGAAAAAAAATACAATTTAATTAGTGAGCATAATGAGAAGAATAAGAAATAGGATATGACAAAATTATATTTTATTTTTCACATTAAAATTTTAAATTGTCCCTGAATTGAAATGGAAGCTAATAAAGATTCATTCATCGCTAATGAATGAATATAGTTCATGAACTGTATTAAGTAACAGGGGACGGGGGAGTTAGGAGATTCAAACTAGCATATCCCCTGCCTTCACATCTTCCCACCAGTTATATGTGCTATATAGAGTGGCACATGCCTCATTAACTGGAGATTAACAAAGCATGCCTAACTGAAGCAGAGTTATTTTTTAAAAACATGCTGAAAACCTTCAGAACAGATTGAAACATAAACATAAGCAACAATGACAAATGTCACCTTGACTCTCTAATCAGAATAGTATAGACATTCTAATGGGTTTCTAGAATGGTGCAAGGTAATTCAATCTCCCTTTCTATTGGTAATCCAATCCATGTACCTAAACCAACACTATTGCTATAAAATTATATTGTTAGTCTCCATGAAGTGAGTGGGGAAGATCTTGAATGTGAGGTTGTTCTGTTTATATGAATTAAAAGCTATATCAAATAAGGAACTATCATATTTTTCGGACTATAAGATGCTCTGGACTATAAGACGCACCTAACTTTTGGGGAGGAAAACAAGGGGGAGGATCTGCCTCTGACTCCCAGCATCCATCTGGTATTCATCTGGCCTGTTTGGTGCAACCCGTTTGCCACGGCCACCCATTTAGTGCAGCCCATTCACCACGGCCCATTTGCTGCAGCCTGTTCTCTACCGGCACTGCTGCCCATTTGCCGTCACCACCCATTTGCCACTGCCACTGCAGCCCATTCTAGAACAGCTGATCAGTACTGCACCAACCCCCCTCCTCCCGCCGCAATATTCGGAGTATAAAACACACAGACATTTCCACCCAATTTGGGGGGGGGGGAGTGCATCTTATACACCAATAAAAATGGTAATTATTTGATCCTATTTGTCATCCACCCTTGACTACCGATCTCCCAAAATTATTTTTCCAAGCTGTTTGCTTTTCAAAAGAAATGCAAGTGCTTTAGAGCCTGTCAAAACTATAGCAGGAAGAGAAAAGCATATTCTCATATTCTCTGGGTTTCCCTTTAGATATTCTTTATATAGCAATAACATTCTAATTGTATATCTGTTTAACCCTTAGATAATCCACTAAAATTTAATAAATACCCTATATTTCTTTTCCCTCCCAAGATACTGTAGGTAGTACAATTAACAGCTATATATGATATGATGAGCCTATGAGATATATTCAGTGTTTGACAGTTTTGCTCTTCAAGTTTACAAATATTTAATTGTAAACAGTTAACAGTTGATGGTCATTTATCACTTAGATTGTAGGAGTTTTTCCTGTTTACATACTGTAACTAGCATTACATTAGTGCCAAAATTATGGCTATAAGAATATATCACACTTGTAACTAATGTGCATTACTTAGAAATAGAAATAGTAGTAGGAGGTAGCTATTTAGACGTTGAGTCCAATCCTATTGCTTAGTGCAGGAATTCCATCTCATCATCCCCATCAGATGGTTCTGGCTGAAATGTTAAATGGTTATGACAAAGTCTCCTAAAGTGTAAGATTAATTGTTAAATAATTGTATAGCTATAGAATGCAAAGTAAACTATTTAATTCATATATTTTCATTATGAGAGAAAGACAGAATTATACATATATAAAATGTATATATTTTAATATGTATTAAATTACAGATTTTCTTTCATTCTTATATAATTATAAAAGTATAGAATTTTTTAAATTATAAATTTTTTATAATTCAACATACTATTTTCTTTATCATCTGATATGGTAAATATAAATGTCAGTATCAATTTATACCTCTATTTTATTTTCCACAAACTTGGAAAATCGGCAATTGTCTTTTAATTAGTTACAACATTTTTTCTGCCTTTAATTTTAAACAATGTATCATGAGACTTTTTTTTAAAAAAAAAAAACATTCTCTCTAAAATTCCAACTCTATGGAAAAAAGGTGATATCATCCACTTATTTACCTTGGCCTTTTCACCAATGACATTTCTCTCCAACTCTGCTATCTTCCTGTTCAAATGATCTACTATTTCCTTCTCCTTCAGCAGTTCAGCTGTTTCAGATTTCTGCTCTGCTTCCAACAGAGCACATTCCATATCCATCTAAGAACATTAAAAATATTCTCTGCCTTAATCTTCTTTATAAAGAAATTCCAACATACAGTATATCTTGAAAGCTTATTTATATGTGATATTTGAATACAAACACTGCCCTTAGAAAGAAACATAATGTTTTAAATAGATAAGTATATCTAAACAAACAGAAAATGCTGCAAAATATTGAATGCATAAATCAAACTTCAACAAGCTTATTTTCATAGAATGTGCAGCTCTTCTGGCTTGTAGTTTAAGAACTTCCTTCCAATCATTGCACTAGCACATTGGAGCAAAAGTAAGATTGCAATAAATAAAATTAACGGAAATGTCTATGATTGGGCTAAAATTAGTAAGAATTGATTTAGAGGACACTTTACAAATAGCATTTAGACTTATATACTGCTTCATAGTGCTTTACAGCTCTCTCAGCATTTTATAGAGTCAGCATATTGCCCCTCACAATCTCAGTTCTAATTTTACCAATCTTGGAAGGCTGAGTCAACGTTGAGTTGATGAGGATCGAACTTCTGGCAGTGAATTGAATTAGCTTGCAATACTGCATTCTAACCACTATGTCATCACGGCTCATGCCTTTGGATGCTCTGGGTTTTCAGAAGAACAATTTACTGAACATCATACAATATCCAGAGCAATTGCTACCACTGCCAGGAGTAGTCAATCCAAATTGATATCTAACTGCAATGTTCTTATATTTACAAAATGTTAATACAACATATTATAATATTCTGCCAGACTAATCATCACAGGTACAATTCTTTAAAGATGTATGAAAGAATAAATCCCAACATATATGGGAGGGTTTAATTCTGAACTAATATGTATAATTTGATTGGCAGTATGAAAAGCAAGAGTGTAGCCCCAAATTATTTATTTATTTAATTAATTGAATTTGTGTGTTGCTCATCTCTAAACCAAACAACTTTGGGATCCTTAAGTCTTAATTTACCAGTGTCCAATTTAAAGTCTCGATCATAACTACTAAGTCTAATTATCTACCCAATCTTAGTTTTACATCTAAATTATACTAATATCTAGGACTAATTCCATGTAGGAAACTGCTAAATGAGTTACTGTATTTTTCGGATTATAAGACACACCAGAGTATAAGACGCACCAAGGTTTTGAAGAGGCAATTTTTTTAAAAAAGTAGGTAGGTAGATAGAGGGATAGAGGGAGAGAAAGAGAAATACAGTAGGGAGAGAGAGAGTGTGCGTGTGTGTAGGTAGGTAGGTAGGATAGAGACAGAAAAATAGAAAGAGAAATAAAGTAGCTAGGTAGGTAGGGAGAGAGAGTGAGGGAGGGAGGGAGAGAGAGAGAAGGTTGGTAGGTAGAGGAGAGAGAGAAATACAGTAGATAGCTAGGGAAAAGGAGAGTGGGTAGGTAGATAGAGGGAGAGAGAGAGAAATACAGTAGGGAAATCCCTACAGGTAGGGAGAGAGAGACAGTAGGTAGGTAGGTAGATATTTCCAGGTGTATTTATCCATGTGCTGGAGAAGGAAATCGCTGACAATCTGCAGCATCTAAGACTTTGTTTCTGCTGGCACAGCACTTGATCAATGTAATTCTCATCAATCAGTTAAAGAGCTTTCCAAGAGGGGAAAAAGTTTTTACACTCTGCAAACCTCCCCAAAACGGCCTGTTTTCGCAAAAACGGGCCTGTTTTTCGTCAAAAAAATGGCATGCATAGCCTTATGGAGGCTTACAGAGTACTGCTGGGGCTGGGAAGGGGGGCAAAAAACGGCCGTTTTTTGTTCATTTCTGCCCTCCCCAGCCCCCAGCCTCCATAAGGGTATGCACGGCCATTTTTGTGAAGGAGGTGAGGCTTCGGGCGGCAAAAAATGCTGTATTTGGTGTATAAGACACAGCCATATTTTCAGGCTCTTTTTTGAGGAAAAAAGGTGCGTCCCATATTCCGAAAAATACAGTAGTTGATATTGTGGACGAAGTTAACTGTTATAATTATTTCTTTGTATATTCACTTTTTTTTTTAGGGATGCAGTGGCTCAGTGGGTAAGACACTGAGCTTGTTGATCAGAAAGGTTGGCAGTTCGGCAGTTTGAATCCCTAGTGCCATATAACAGAGTGAGCCGCTGTTACCTGTTCCAGCTTCTGCCAACCAAGCTGTTCGAAAGCACGAAAAAAATGTAAGTAGAAAAATAAGGACCACTTTGGTGGGAAAATAACAGCATTTGGTGTGCTTTTGCCGTTTAGTCATGCCGGCCACATGACTATGGAGACATCTTTGAACAACGCAGGCTCTTCAGTTTGAAATGGAGATGAGTACCACCCGCTAGAGTTGGGAACAACTAGCACATACTATATGTGCAAGGGGAACCTTTACCTTTTATATTCACTTTATTTGTGGTCATGAAATGTTCTTTATGATAAAAGCCATTTTCATTAGCTGTATAAATGTTTTGAAAATAAGTATGGATTCTATAACAAGAAATTATAGCATATTTAAAGATGAAACTGCACCATTCAGAAATAAACAAGAGATTTTATACCTCTCTGGAGGATTCATCCATCTGATCATTTAAATCTTTGATCTTTTGTTCAAGTTCTTCCAGGTTATTTAGTATTATAATGCGCTGTTCTTCCATTTGAGTAAGTTCTGATGTTATTTGTTCATTGCTTATGCATTCTGGTGACTGTAACAAATCAATAATTGCCTTTTTTAAAGAAGAGCTTTTAAAGGATGAACATGGAATCATCATTTTTTTTCTTTTCCTAAAACAACCAACTTAAAATTAAATAATAATAACCTAATACACACTAAGTAATCTTGTTCTGTTACAGTACTTTCCAGAATATTCATTCATTTTCATATATTTTTTCTATAAACAAAATAAGCACAAACACAAAAGCACGCAGAAAGTATAATTATTGTGGAATCATTTCAAAACGGTACGAAAGTTCTTAAAAATGTAATTCTATAAATTCTATTTAGCGTGTTTCCTACAATGCTGCGGTTAAAGGAATCTGGCTTGAAAGTGGGAGGCAATGAATTCTAGCTCCACCTTATGCAATTGTGCAACCCTGATTACAGAGTCACATTCTTTCAGTCTAGGAATAAGGCAACAGTAAACTACTTCCAAAAATCTTGTTGTCCCCCCCCCCCAAAAAAAAACCCTACAGAGACTGGTCCAGGCAGTCATCAAGACTCAACATGGACTTGAAAAGGAAAAAAAAGATATATATTCTCCCATTGAGATACGTTGTTTCCCTTATTGAAAACATCTCTTGATCATTTTCTCTAGAAATTGTGGAGATAATCTGTTTGAACTAGATGTCAACATATAAAATTAAAATGCTGCTCTCTTTAATTTTGACTATTGATTTAACTGCAATCTGTGTGATGATGCTTATGATTCCTTCCTATCATCTCAAAGGAAAATACATTTTCAGGAAAGCAGATTTTGCTGAAGAGAAGTGGCACCTGACAATTACACAGCTTTCTTTTGTGTACTGATAATGATAATCAATCACAAACTACATTGCAATCTATGTCTGCCTCCAGAAAACAACTGTCTTTCCCTCTCTCATCTATCCTCCAAATTTAGTCTCTTTGGAACAGTTCCTAAAAAGAAAAAAACTAAGTACGTCTGGAATTGCTGTTTGGTAAAATACACCAACAATTAAAAAATTTCTATGTTCCTTCCACCAGAAATAGTATTCTTTTTACCTTTGACATAATGCTTAGATAGGGAGATTCAGTGACATCCTTCAGGAAAGTAGAAGATAAAGGTGAACTTGTCCTGTTGCCATTTAAATGTTTATTCGTTCTGATTCCTCTTGAGGAAAAGAAACCCATAGAATTTTGTCCAAGATCACCAAGTTCAGAGAAATCAGAATCTTCAGCTGGAAGCTGCAAAAGATCTCTGAATCTTGAGTCTGCTATTATCTGAGAGTCTTCAAAGACAGAATCTTCATCAGACAACTGGAGTTTTTCAAGTTCTTTATTAATTTTCTGAACATCCGCTACGGTAGTGACTGTGGCAGGTTCATTGTCAGGCTTGGAATATTCTGCACACAGATTAAGAATGGTCTCTAGTCTCTGGCGCTCCTAATATTGAAACAAATAATTAAAAGTAGAATATTCACATACTTTTTGGGCATCATAACATTTTTTTCAGGCATGTAGAAACTATCAATGTCAACCAAAATTTATTCTAAACTATTAATATTTATATTTAATATACATATTAAAGGAGAACTTCAGTATTATTGAATAATCAGAATCCAATGAATGATCAGAATGGCACTGTCAGTGAAAATTGGTTAGCACTTTACCATTCAATCAAAGGGCCTTAAGAAAGGCAGTTTCAAACTCCCAACCCACCATTTATTTTAGAATTTATTAATAAACTCATAAAATCAGAGACTGAATATAGTTCGGTCTCTGGCACTCAGTCACCTTGAATCATGAGCTGGGCAGCAAATAATTGATAAACAGACAGACTGACACAGATAAATATTCAATTGTGCAAAATTACAGTAAAACGACATTTCATTTTCTTCCATTCTGTAAAACGGAAGACATTTAACATACAAATGAATTACAAAAGAAAGACTAAAGGCATCCAAAGAAATAACAGACTATCTCTTCCAAGTCCAAAGTAAACCCTGAGCAAAATTTCAAGACTATTCATGGAAATAACTAGTTTTACTATGCTAATTCTATTGATTTTGCTTTGAACTTCTGTGTGTTTTTGTCTTCCTTTGCTTTTCCCCCACATTCCTTTTTCCAGTGAGATCTTGTGAAGGACGACATCTCCCCAGCCCACCAGAGCATGAAAGAAACGGTATGTTGTAGGCCCATCCATTATAGAAGCACAAGTTGTAGGACCAAGGAAAAGTCCTTCTCAATGGTGCTTGCCTCCCTTTGGAATACCTTGTTACTTTTATGGAAGACCTTGAATATGTGGATTTGTCAGGAGTTCTCGGGACCCTTCATTGATATGGAGTCAATCAAATGGCTGGAGTGAGTATGGAAGGGACATTTATATTTTAATGTTGTAAATCACACAGAGTCAATGTGTGTGAATTGGGTGGCCTATAAATGTGTTTAAAATAAATAAATATCTATAGATTCAACTTCATTGCTTTAATATCGGAATTTCTCATTAGATAATACTTTAATGAGTATTATCTAATGCAAGCTTGGACAGTTACACTTTTGTCTTTTAGGCCTGCAACACATTTAGTTCTATATTTCTACTGGTGGCTACATACTAACAAAGAACCCTTCAGATATTATGTCTTCCATAAGTCTTCTGCATGTAAGACATATTTTTTTTAAAGAAAAAGTATAGATAATTTGTAAAAAAAAACCAATATCCTTATTCTCTACTCCCTTAGAATTTCTTCTTGTGTTTCCATAATTGGTCTGAAAGCAATTAAGATGATGGTAAAAAAGAAACATAAACAGCAAATTGTATGAATAATTTCACTTTAGTAACATCTAACTGTAATGCTGAATCATACCTATTGAGAAAGTCTAGTCATTTCACAACATAACAATATTACAAAATCTATTGCTAGCTCAAGAGCTTTCTATCTTTAAGTGAAATATCTCACAATTTTAAGAGAATGTATTTTTCAATCTGTGAGCGAAGGTACCATAGAAGACTACTCTACTCTGCATTAAAAAGCAGTAACAATGAACACATATACTGAGAAGCTTCATCTCAAGACGAGTATTCATCATAGTATTTCAAAGTGGTGCTCATTTCCCAAGAGAATTCAAATGAATTCAAATTCTGCTTTTCCTTAAATGAAAAGGTAAGAGAAAGCGAAGATATATCGGTAGACATGTAATCAAAGCTTTGCTTAATTACTTAGAAAAGCTTGTTGAGTTCAAAGGGTATAATCCCAAATAAGTACTGAAGCCACTTAACCCTTTGTTTTAGCAGGAATTGGAGGAGGTTATCGAGTTCAATAATCAAATGTTTGCATATCCATGAAATTAATGCAGAAACTTCTTTATTAAAAAAAAGAATAGTTTTTTAACTATTGAATTCAGTTGATTTTTAAATCTGCCTAATTTATGTAGAAAAGTCCAAATGTGGTATTAAAAACTAAGTTTATACTTTTAAATTACCCCTTAATTTAAAGTCCCTTCATCCCTCTTTTCAAACAAAACATTAAATTAGAAAGATAAAATGACAATGAAATCCTTGCACCTTGAAAGTCCTTTCTTCCCTCCAAGCATTTTCACCGTAAGCCTTCAGCTCTCTCTTCCTTTGCTTAAACAGTTTTTGTTCTCTTCCTCTTAAACCTGAGTCCTTGGAGTACCCAACCCATTTCTGAAAGCTCCGTCTGACTGCTGGCCAGGAACACCAACATTCAGCCATTATTCGTTGACTTTAATGCTACCTTCACTGCAGAATTAAGAAGTGAAATAAACAATGCTTGTTCTCTGAGCCCACCTCCACATATAGTGACAGGATATGTTCGTTTTGGTTTTTTTCCTCACTCACCCTTCAGAATGCAGGATGTATCAAATAGTAGCCCATACACAAATATTTTCCCCTGCCCAGTTCCATAGGAATGCAGCCGAGGTGTACGTTGATAATGATATGTACCAAACTCTTACTTTTGGACAGAATGCTGTCTTGACACTCTACAGATTTCTGTTCTTTGCAAGGAAAACAAAAATCTACCATTACTAGCAGTTAAAAACACAAATTGGTAAAGGGAAGTTTCTCTCTCTGTCTCTTGCACATGTACACACACACACACACACACACACAGAGCTGAAAATAATAAGAAACGACAAATTATTGCTGCTTACCCCATTTTTACAAAACTTCTTCTAACTTTAAGCAAGAAATATTCTTCCCTTGGCTTTAATCACTACTACAGTGGTAACTGGCTAACATGTTACATTACATCATTTCTATTTCAAAGTGCACAACGTGATATCACAGAACCTATGTGCAGGAAATTCTTTAGGCTGCTATTTTGTGGTATCTATTTTCACCACAGGACTCCAGCTATTCCTTGTTTCACTGCACTTTCATTCTACAAATTTACAGTAAACTGTGTTTTTAAAGCCAATTCAAATATGTATATATAAATACATAGCCAACAGTGTATCTTTAAAATACAGATAGCTGATATTAGTAGTTGGTCACCAAATTAGTTTTTTGTTTTTAATGAGTGATAGGAAAATAATTTTCAAATAATAGAGTAGAATGAAAGTGATATACTCCAAAAGAATTGTAAGTCATTTTTTTATTAATAAAA